GATACGCTTGTAATGTAATAAATATCAGAACATTGTCTCAAAACATTATTATTAAAGTATAGTTTTATAGAAGATATCTATTTTTTTTTTTGCCAAGACTGCATTCAAATATTCTTCTCACTTTGAGGAAATAGTATGGGATCATTTACAAAGGTTGTCTAATATCCATTTCAGAGTTAAATGGATGTGAGCATTTTTCAGATAACTTTAAATCCCCAAAAAAAGAAACAACTCAGTTTTTCAACATTATCTCGAGCCAACGTTACTGCATCTTTTTATAAAGTTCACGAAAAAATCCAGTTGCTTTCTTCTGAGATATGGCATCAATTTTCAAGATGATCTTAATCTGCTTTGAAAACAATATGCTTTCTAAACTATAATACAATGAGTGGATAGTCTAGCTCAAGCTCAAGATAGATAGCTATTTCCTTTGAAAAAATATAAAGAATTTACTGAATGCTACTCATTAAAATTTTTCAAAATCTAAGCAGTTATCAAACAAATATCTTTTAGTACAATTTTTTAGCCATCTTCCACTTTATGGCATGATTCATTAACCTTTCGAGTTTGTTTTCCTATTAAGAACATCATTAGAATCGATATATTCATTTTATTTTATGACAAGAAATTGATTTATCAGAAAACTCTTTTCGACCTTTATTTTATGGATGCGTTTATCTCAAAAGCATTGTGAATTTGGATTGGTCGATCAAAAATAGATTCAAAGATTTTTTAGGAAATTGATGATAAAAACTTATCTATCATCCGCATCATTTGTACTACAAGTACTATAATCATGATCATTGTAATTATGAAGTTTTTCTGCAATTTTTTCAATACAAATGTTTGTTCCTATAAATTTTATCTCATATTATTTGATATCATTGATATTACTGGTTGTTTCTCTGGCATTCTAGCCATATATTCATTCTTCTGCTACTTTGCTCACTTCAGTCAAAGTACACTCTGTGTTTCTGTCACGAACACGGATTTTCATCTTAGCTCAGGCTAATTTAATAGAATTCAGTATGCAATGTCTCATTGGTAAACATGAAGAAAAAGATATGAGAAAATAAGAGATACGAGTAGATTGCGTTTACTGTAACAAATTAACCCGATATTTTTTTGTTTCTTCGTCCAAATTATTTCTTTTTTCTGGTAAATTTTCAAAAGCCAACTTTAATAACTCTGCCATATCTTAGAAGAAAAGCAACCGGATTTTTTCGTGAACTCTATAAAAAGATCCAGTAATGTCGACTCGAGATAGTGTTGAAAAACTGAGTTATTTCTCTTTTTTTCGTTTCAAGTTATTTAAAGAATACCCACATCCATTTTATTCTGGAATGGGCATTAGTTTGTTTTGTCTATTTGTTCTGGTGGCGATGTTAATCAAAATGTTGAATTGATGGTCTGATGTGATTAGTATCGAGTAGAGCAGAATAAATGATACCTCGAAATTTTGGGAATATCTCTTTCAAATTTCATTGCCATCCTATATCGAATAATCCAAAGAGAATAATCGAGAAAGTCTAACACTTATTGCAGCGAAAGAAACCAATATCAACTCGAAAATCGACGAGTGAATGGAGTATTTCGAGAACAAGTATGGCACTGGCGAACAGAAAGACAAACGAAGAAAGTTTGCTAACTGGATTCGAACAAATTTTCCGTAGGTAGAGACAATGAAAATCCTTTTTTTCTNCCCACACCCACACCCACACCCACACTCACACCCACACCCACATCCACACCCACACTCACACCCACACCCTAGCCACACACCCACACCCACACCCACACACCCTGCCACAGAACAGACATCCATTTCAAAAAGCGATATCACTCTTTTATGCGGACTCAAATCACACAAAGGTGCCGAAACTACGCTCTTATAAGCGGACCGCTCCCTTATCCGAGGCCCTTTTAAGTGGACTTTGTCAGCATACAAAACAATGGAGAAGAAAACGAGAAATTTAAAAACGGCTCTTACAGGCGGGCCGCTCCGTTATCCGGAGCTCTTATAAGTGGACTCGACTGTACAAGCATTTAAGATGTACAAAAAAAAATGCCAGTTCATCCATGCATGTGACGCAGCTACAAGCGGAGACTATTGCCTACTGCTATCTAAGCATATTATGCATAAAACTATATTGTCCAAGCAGCATAAAGCGATAAATAGTGTTTGACTACGGCGGTTATTTGCTGGGGATGTGTTCGACTTTATAAATTTGAAATAGAGTCATTTTTAACTTCTTTTTTAGAGCGTTTGTCTGTGTTATTGTTGGTTTTGTACGATAAAATAATTAGCATCATCTTCATCATCGTCTTCATTTCTGTTCATCTTGATGAATATCAGCTTGATATTGCTTCAGACCAGTAATTTGCCGACTTAATTCCTCGATTCGCTTTACCATGACGGCATTATCACTGGAAAGACGTTCGATCTTCTCAGTTTGTGCATTGAACTTTTTTTCGAAGTATTCAAATGAAGGCTCAGTGGCCACATGATCTGATGGGAGGTCAGCTTTGTCGGTTGATGAAGTCACCAAGGAAACAGGATAGTGGGCTAAAAAAACACATGGACATTTGCAATTACAATCCTCTGGACAAGATGTGCACTAGAGGTGTTACATTACTAGAACTATGTATTATTATTACTTCAGTGAATGGAAATATTTATTGTTACTCTTATTACTTTTGATTTTTACCACCATGTTCTTTGTTTTTATTATTCTAATGATAGGAGAGCTCACATTGTTGCTTATTCGTGAAATATGAAGTCTTTTCTTGGTAGTTAATTACTAGTTACTTTTATTGCTTACAAATATTTAGTATTTATTACCAGTAATAAGTAATAAATATTTCAAAAGTAATACAAGCAATTAGCAACAAAATTTTACTGTAATTAAGAAACAGTTAACTCAATATAATATTAAGAGAAAGAAAAGGTAAGATGTGATGCAAAAAGGATGCGACTGTGGGTAGGCAAAGGGAAGATTCATATCCACACTCCACGTCTTATCTAATGTATGATAAGAAGTATTTCTACTACCTGCTTTTGTATATTACTTTGTTACTGTTTTTGTGTTGATTGCTTATTACTATTGATTAGTAATAACAGTTGTTAATTTTTTCAATAACTTTTGATAAAAAAAAGATAGAGGACTACGGATTGGTTCATATTCAAATGATGAATCAGTGGTCTTCATGATGAGACTGAACATTTTATAGTGGCTACATCTAGCTTTAATTATAACGAATGCGATAGATCCACTAATTCATGATAAAAAAAGCCATATAAACCAGTCATTTCTACGTGGTTTCATTTAAAAGTCATATGCATTATAGCAATGGCGATAGTATCAACATATCAGTGATTTTAAGTATTTTTCCATTTTTGAAAAGCTCTTGTTTCAATTGTCAGTCATGTTTTTCGTTGTTTGTAACAAACTGAACTGTTGCTTGTGAAAGTGACTTGCCATTATCAAGTATATCTACTAAAAACCTACTATTGTATTGTGATTGAATCCGAATAATGTCACACTCTGATGATATTTTCGATTAATGCATGTTAAGTTTTATCGTCGACTGTTAACGGAAACAATCTCACATATTACTCGACTTTGACATCGGATAATTATTCTCTTCTCTGTTTGAAAATAATGAGGCGTTTAATGTTTAAAGTGAGCACATTTGACGTATCGGAATAACATGCAGCACGATTTTTCATACAATTGAATCCATTTTCTTCGTCGCTGATATAGACGGCCGGATTGGTATTCTTGTTACAATATCATATTGTAACTACGCAATAAGAGTGTTTAACACAAGAGCTCTTTTTTTTGTTTTTCAACATTTTCTGGTACTTTTTTTCTTGTTGTATTAGTTTGCGAAGACGAGACACAAACTTTTTACTTTTTTGATTCTAGTAAGTTGAAATGCTTTATATTCATCTCTCTTTCCTATGCATTCTTTGTCTTTCTCTGTTCACATAATCAATAAATACCCACGGTTCTAAAAATAAAACAAGTCAGCTATCTGACGTGTTTCGCCCTATTAATCCTTTTAGTACTATACTGAAATTAAAAAAAGAAAGTTTGTTATCCTGAACTCGAATCAGTTGCTGTTCTGCTGTCTAAAAGATGCCCACAGGATATGATTTCTCGAAATAGATGATGTCATTGATGTCTAATGTGATCAAATCTATTCAAAGGGGAAAAGCCAGCTGTATGATTTCGCTCAACAATGCCAATGACCGGTCGATATCCATGTTTGCTGTAAAACTGTCACTTGTCGACAAACTGAACCGAGAAATGAAAGTACAGAGAAAGAAAAATATAGGAGAGAAACAAAACTAAATGAATCAAAGAAAAGAAGAAACTCAATAAAAAAAAATAAAACGAAGAAAACCAAACTATACAGGTTACTCGTCGACTTCGAAATACATGTACAGTGTCGTCGTTGGTACTAACATCAATCTCAGTATGTATCTCGTTCGCAAGTTATGTTCCTGTTGCTGCATCACCGTGAAAATGAGTCTGCTTTGTTTGATGAC